ATTATTTAAAGTTTCTTTATTTTAATGATTTCTGAAAGCCATTGACAATCAGCAAACCTATATTTTGTAATTTTTATACCAACTTTAAATTTACAATTAATACGATTAAACTTGTCCTTTCTAAAACAATTTAAAGGAGACTTTTTAGCAGTTAAACTACGGTAAGTTCGGGTTTTCATAAAATCTTCACACTTAAAGATAAAATCACATTATAAATCATAAAATCACACTTTTAGAAAAACGTCCTTGTTAGATGGGCTTTAAATTAAGTTATGGTTTGTTGCAGAGTAAATTGAGATTCATCCCTACTTGAGTAAAAAGATGTAAACATATTTGGGTAGATTCCTAACTTTTCCCTACTAATAACATTTTTACACAATTAGAGAAAAATGTATACTCATTTTTATTAATATACACTTAAAGCCATAATCAACGATTATGATTACGATTACGATTACGATTATAATCAAAAAGATCACAATTATTTGATTACACGATTGTAATCGTAATCACGGTTTTTGATTTTGATTATAATCGCGTAATCACGTAATCGTAATTATGTAATTATAATCATTGTAATCAAAATCACTGTAATCGTAATCGTGTAATCATAATCGCGTAATCGTAATAAAAAAATCAAATACACACGATTTTCCTGTTTTTAGAGATAGGCTTAAAGGAAAACAAGAATAAAACATTTTCTATTTTCTTTAGCTGCCGGGAGTACCTTCTTTGTTAATAACGTCGGTTAACATTTAATATTTTCCGGATTTCCATTCACTTTTCTTCTGTTATCATGCGAATCGATGCTCGGTTTTTCACCGTTCCAACACTTTTCCGGGTATATTGATGTTGACGAAAATGGAGAATTAGTGTAGAAATTTTTCCGAATTTCCACTCGTTTTTCCTCTTTTATCTCGTCTATGCATGCTAGGTTTTTCTCCACTCCAACAGTTTGCCGACTATGTAGATGTAGGCGAAAATAGAGAATGAATGCAGACAATTTTCCGGATTTCTATTTGCTTTTCCTCTTTTATCTCGTGAATGGAGTCTTAGTTTTTCACCGTTCTAACCATTTTATAACTGTTTAGAGGAAAACCAATGGAAACGGGAGTGGTACAAATTTGCCGAATTTTCATTTACTTTTCCTCTTTTATCTCGAAAATGAAGGATCAGGTTTTTCACCGTTCCAACAGTTTCCCGGCTATGTGGTGGTAGGCAAAAACGGATAAATGGTGAAAAAAATTTTCCGAATTTTCATTCGCTTTTCCCACTTTATCTCGTGAATGGATGCTCGGTTTTTCACCAACACATTTCCGACTATATAGATGTAGAAAAAAACGGAGAAATGGTGTAGAAAATTTTCCGAATTTCCATTCGCTTTTCCTCTTTTATCTAAATCTTTTATCTTAGGAAAAGTGAATGAAAATTGGAAAATTTTCTTCAAAATGTCCCCATTTTCCTTTACCTCTATAAAGCCGGAAAACTGTTGGAACGGTGAAAAACTGATCCTTCATTTCCAAGAAAAAATAGGAAAAGTTATACCACTCCTGTTTCCATTGGCCTTCCTCTAAACAGCTATAAAATGGTTGGAACGGTGAAAAACCGAGACTCTATTCACGAGATAAAAGCGGAAAAGCGAATGAAAATTCAAAAAATTTTCTACACTAATTCTCCATATTCGCCTACATCAATATAGCCGGAAAAGTGTTGGAACGGTGAAAAACGAGCATCCATTTACGAGTTTAAAGAGGAAAAGCGAATGAAATTTCGAAAATTTTCTACACTAATTCTCCATATTCGCCTACATCAATATAGCCGGAAAAGTGTTGGAACGGTGAAAAAACGAGCATCCATTTACGAGTTTAAAGAGGAAAAGCGAATGAAAATTCAAAAAATTTTCTACACTAATTCTCCATATTCGCCTACATCAATATAGCCGGAAAAGTGTTGGAACAGTGAAAAACCGAGCATCCATTTACGAGTTTAAAGGGGAAAAGCGAATGAAAATTCAGAAAATTTTCTACACCCTATTCCCATTTCCACTTTTCTCTACATAGCCGAAAAGTGTTGGAACGGTAAACACCTGACCCTTCATTCATGAGATAAAAGATGAAAAGGGAATGAAAATTAGGAAAATGTTAATCGGTAAACCGACGGTATTATCATAGAAAGTGGTCCCGGAAATTAAAAGAAAATAGAAAATGTTTTATACTAGTTTTTCTTTTAGTCTATTTCTAAACAGAGGAAATCGTGTGTATTTGATTTTTTGATTACGATTACGCGATTATGATTACGTGATTACGATTACAGTGATTTTGATTACTTGATTATGAATACAGTGAATTCGATTACATGATTACGATTACATTGATTTTGATTACGTGATTACACGATTGTAATCGTAATCAGGTTTATGATTACGATTGTAATCATGTAATCAGGTAATCGTTTCATACTTTTGCTATAATTATAGTGCTACTGTATCAAGTATAAAATTGGCGTGGTCATAAAGTTTTATTTTCAGTTGTAATCATGTAATCATTGATTACGATTTTGCCCATCTCTGCTTAAAGCTCATCAAACAAAGAAGTTTTTCCGAATGTGTGGAATCTTCAGTCCAGTTGGAGGGGGGAGGGGGAAAATCGGGAAGAATCCTTGATTTAAACAAAATAGAACTTACCATAGTTTAATTACTTAAGTTTCATTTTAAATTGTTTTAAAAAAGACAAGATTTACTTGCATTTAATGTAAATTTAGTCTAGTTTACTATGAAGTAATTGGTTGTAGCCTAAATTAAACATTTTTTAGTTATTACTTTTTATTCAACATAAAACGTGGTTAGATTAAAAATTACAAAATTTAAGTTTCCTGGTTCGCTGTATGTTATCAGACCATGGTTTATGGTAACCATATAAGTTCTAATGTATTCTATTAGATATTATCAATTATATGAAATTAATTTCAATCTAAATTTCAGATCATTATCACGAAATTACCCATTGATTTATATCGAATATAATTATTTTGCTAATGACTTTTAAGAATCATTTATATAAAAAACTTTAAATAATAATTTGAACGATTGAAAATGTTAAAAAAAAAACAATTAAAGTTGAAAAAGTATCGCCTACTATGAACAATATCAGTTGAAGCCATTTTTGTTTAAAGTGGAAATGCAATAAATATCTCCGTAACCATAGATTGTATAAAAAAAAGAAGGTATTGTGTATCATTTTTATATAGCTTTTAAAGTACTTTAATATGGTTTAGCTTAGCAAAACACCTCATAGTTTTTGAGATATAAAAAAAAAAGAAATCAGTTTTCTGTCCTGTCCTCCCTCCCTTCATCAAAAACAGACGCGGACTTTTTGGAACTTTTTACCAGTTATTGTGGGAAGGACAATCAGCAATTCCAGGCGTTTCACCGCTATTTTTTTTAATGTTGGGGAAAGGCTGTTTTCCCCTTAACTTTACTGGACTATAAGTTTATGCGTTTATTGTCACTTTCAATTACGTTATCAGGGGTGCTTGTTCTATCAATGATCGATGTCGCATGATTCCCCTCTTCTCCACTCCCATAACAAGAAAGTAAATTGCTCTCCTCTTCAAGAAAACGAAAGTAGAAGTTAAAAATGTGTTGATCATTAAAAACTACACTTGTGTTCTGATTTATTTTCCTCTTGTTTGAAGGTTGCTCCAAATTGAAACCTTGTTTCATAAAATGTGCCTCCCTTCTCTTTCAATTCTCAAAATCCCGTTTAAATGTGCCCCCTCCTTAAAATGGTTCAGCTCCTTTCGATAAAACGGATCTTTTTCAGTTGATTTCGGGGCCTTAACAGCCAGTCTTTGGTCACTTTCATCTACTTTCGGACACAATCGGCCATTGTCGGGATTCTAAATATGGGGTGATTATGAGATGTCAATTCATCTTTGAGGATTGACAATTTTAACAGTACCGAAAAAAGGAATGGAAAGTTCAAGCAACAAGAATTTGAAGTAGCCAGTACCCAATTGAACACTAATGCTGTAGAATTGTTTCAAGGAATAGATAACTTGAAAGAATAATTAGTGAGTTGTATCCATTGAATTATAAATATGATGTAAAGAACTTAAGCCCTTCGATTGTGAAACCTGAAAACTGGAATATATTTGTAAGTACTGCTTGATAGATTATATGCAAGAGTGCAGAACTGAAGAGTGAAACTTAATAAGCGAGAATAACAGTCATATAAATTCCAACAACAGTGATTCAAATATGTTGAAAAGTGATGAAGCATTAATTACCGTAAAATGTTTTACAATAGCCTCATCCACAACAGCCTTCCTTTAGTATTAAAGTAATTTAATATACTCAATTTATCTCGTAATACAAAAGTAAATAATAATGGAACTTGAACAAGTAGTGATTGAGTGAATTTTAAAGTAACACAAAAATATATTTTAGTAAATTTTTACAAAGAATATTTTTAACACATTAATTCTAATAATAATTAACATCTGGTTTTAAAAATCAATCATAAGAGCAGTGTTGCTTGCAATTAAAAATAATACATTTCACATAGTAATACAAAAAAGTCATACGTTCATCATAGTTTATCTTAACAAATTCCAGAACAGAATCATTAAGCAATTGAAAAAAAGACTATAAGCAGCACTAATTACTAAGTATTGCTCGTATTAGACATTTGGCGGCCCCGTATAATAACGTCAACTCCCCAAAAATATTAAATTGATTTCTTAAGCTATTTTATATTATGCAATATTTGAATTTTATTTAATTTAATATGTATCTAATACAGTTGGTTTATTGACAGGCTAAATTTGATTATTTTGATACGTTTTGAATTTTTTTTAAATTTCTAATAAGCAGCGAGCGCCCCTGGAGATTAGCTGGCGCCCCCAAAAGGCCCCTAAAACCAGCCCGGTAGCCCCGCCCTAAGGCCGGCGCTGGTACTAAGTACAATCATAAAATTAATTATTTGAGATAAGCAGGTTACCTCCTGAAGTATGTTAAGAACTGGCTTCAACTGGAATCGGATCTTGGGTGTGAGGCGGTAGGAGTTGGGTGGAGGAAGGCGTACCTCTAACCTGCTAGCTCGATTGCCAGCGAGACCTCTTTTTTTTATAATCGCCGTCCCACTCGTCGCGTGTTGGGCGGAGCTCCTTGATTCCATTCTGTGGCAAACTTCTTACCTAAATAGATACTAACTAGGGCAGCTAAAAAAAAAAAACCGTTGTTAGCGCTTTGGTATAATCCATAAAAACATGTACCAATTTTAATGAATTAGCAATTATTGCGGCAAAATATAACATGTGTTTATTTTGTAACCAATTTTTAAAGGTTATGACTTGTATTGGATAATTTTTTTTGACAGATAATGTCACTATTTACACCTCTTTGACAAAAGATTAATGGTACTTTACAAATGTTGCTACACTATCATGGATGGTCTCAAGAATCAATGATCATACTCTAAAGAGGGTCGCTCAGTAAGTAAGGCATTGTGCCACCAAAAGAAATTACGAAACTACGATAATGTTCGAGAACATTTATTGAGATGTCTAGATCAATAATTAACAAACAATAGTTGCCACCGTTGACTTGAGGCTCTTTGCAATTATATTTGTCGACGTTTCTCAATACCTGCTACGCTCAATACCTAATATGATAATAACCAGAGGTACCCACAGAGGGGTTGTATGGTGCAAGTTGCGCCATCAGAATTTTTGGGGGAGAGGATGCACATTAAGTTTTCAATTTTAAGAGAATATTTAAACCAGAAAATAAAGAAAAAAAAGGCACTCTGAGATTTGCGTGTATATAAAAAAATGTATAAGGGCGCCGCATACTTAGAAGAGCGGCAGATATGATTTTATCCTAAGTACACAACACAATCACTGCCTTCCGTATATCCATTTTCAGCATTTATTCAAACGGCGTCGCATGTTTGAAATATCGGTATGTGGTACCTTCATTGTGTGTATATAATGAATACAGCTAATGCCTTGTCTTTTGCTATAGGACGCGGAAGAAAATTTAAAATAAACAAAACAACAACTTACGAGGTATTATCAATAGTGACAGGCCGTTTCAACATTCTAAAAGAAACTAATTAGGAAATAAAGAAAAAAATAAAAAAAGGAAATAAAGACTAATTTCTCCATCCCCAAATTTATTGCCCCCCCCCCTCCCTATTTTAAAATAATGTACCCCTTTTGACAATGCTCTCGCAATTATTTAAGATGAAATTCTCATTTAAAGGAAAACTATTTTAAAACAAAATAATAATGAATTCCTGGGATGGGCATACGTAGAGGAGGATAGGAGGGAGTTTTACCTCCTCTAAATATTAATATTACTTGTTGATTGTAATTGCCTGGTTGCGCTCTCCAGTAAAACTAAACAACGTGAAGGACAAGCGACACTCGTTCATAAACTCTAAGTATCCCAAATAATATTTTCGTATATTTAGTGACTCCCCAAGACAATTCATGAAAAAAATTGATAAAGGAAAAAAAATTGTTTTGGGGGGCTAACTCACCACCTATACATCATATCGGTTTTGAACGAATCTAAACGTTCCTGAGTCTATTTTTTGAAAGGTCATTAAATTTCTGACAAAACTGTCAAAAATCGTCTGAATCGGACCAGTTTTAGCAAAGTTACAGTATATTGTTTTTTATAACCTGGTTTTAATGACAGTTAACTTGCCCGTTTACATTGCTTGGTTCATTTAAGAAATCGTACCCTAATGATTTCACTGATTGGTTTTTAGGAAAATAAATCTAATTCAATTGCTTGTTTTTTTTTTCATTTAAAGTTGTATTCGTTTGGCTTTCTAATAGATAGGAAAGTCATGTAAGTGGACACACTCGATTTTTCAATAAAATCATTGGTAACAATATATACATCGTCTTTACTCTATAACTCGTCCATTCCATATAATCTGAGGGATGGAGGAGAGTTATCATTATCTTTCTTGATTCTTAATTTTATTGATTTAGTTGGACTATACTATGTTTATGTCAGTAAAACATCTGAATTTACTTATTCTTTTAGCGTTTTTCTAAGATTTAAAGCGTAACATATTTAATAAATAGTAATAAGCCCGTAGGTAACTGCAAGATTCTTGCACAAGACCAAGACCGATTCGGTCTCGTATTGGTCTTGTGTTTGAACAAAACTATACATATTTAGGTAAGTGAGAGTAAAAATCAATTTAAATTATTAAGAAATTATTTGGTGATCAAGATTGTATTCACCAACTTGCATAAATTGTCGCTAATGAACTTTGGATGTGTTTTAAGTTATATAACGAATAACAGCGTAAATTTAATTTATTTAAAATAAATGAAAATTCGAGAGATGGAGAAAATTATCATTTTAGTCTAAACTGTTAAAATTTTCATTGAAAATGATACAGATTACTTCCAAATATCAGTACAAAATGTTTTTCTCACTTGTTCTTATCCTCTAAAATTATTTTAAAGCAAATTAAAATAAGTAACAGAATGGAAGCTAATTTTTCTAATAAAAACTTGAGATTTAATTTTCATAATTTTTACATAGGATTTCGAAAACAAAAAAGAAATCTAGATTTATTGAACTCTGCTAAGCCAAAAAGTAGCTGAACAGCGTTTTATTAGTTGGAACAATATTCTCAGCAACTTCTAATGTCTTTTTTTAGCTGGGTATAGAATTTTTTGTTAAGGTAGCAAATAGCAAGATCTCCTAGCAATATCTAAATTCATAACACTTTATTATTTTACGCTTTTGTAAAAAACATTATGATCGACATGAAATTAATTTTATGTTAATTTGCTGGCAGTAAAATATTCCTAAAGTCCTCTTTTAGAAAAAGATAGGTAGAAAATAAAAGTTGTTTGGACAACTATCTTCAAACATGATTGTGAGCCATTGAAATAATATTAGCAAAACACAAGGTAATAGTTTTTGCTATCGTTAGTGAAGAAAGACTTTATTCAGACATTATTTATGCAGGTTCAATTCGGTTAGTTGATGATTAGTAGTGTAGTTGGTACGAGAATTTTTGTCAAGAGCAAGTATAATTTTGTCACTTTTCATTCATCTTCCACCAGTGCGATCAAAATTCCATTACAATATTCTAAGTTATATATTTCCAAATAAATATCATCGTTTCATCAAATTACTTAGTCATGTCATTTTATTGATTAACTGAGATAAAAATATCCGGAAAACTGAAAGAAATTCGTTTTATTAAAACTAAAAACAAAATTTCACTCGAAATTTGCTGATTTTTATTAGCCCATCTTATAAAATTGACATTATCTGGAGAAACTTTTGAAAACATTTTTTTTCTCGATTATTTATAACATTTTAAAAAATGAGAGTCTGTCAGTCGGCTCGTGCATGCTACCTGTAAAAATGATGGCTAAATTAAAGAATATTAGGCCAGTAACTTCAGGTCGGAAAACTCATTGCTAAAAATGTGGGAAAAGTTTTTATTTTTTAAACATATTATGGGTTTAAACATATAAAAAACAAAATATTTAACACGGGCCTAGGAAAAACTTTTTACAGCAAAAAAACAACAACAGATTTATCTATCTTTTTGGCTGTTTCATCTATAACTCCTAAACGATGTACCCAAGCGAATAACTTAAGAAATTAAAGAACGTTAAATTGTGCGGCGAATAAGTACCTAAGCTGATAATTTGGTTAAGCATCAAATTTCGCATTGATTGATTACCAATAGTTTTAATGTACAATGGTCTCTTAATTCGCTCGAAATCGCTAATCTTCCGATTGCTGGAAATTCATAATGAAGATACCTGTGATTTTAAATATTTTAGCAGTATGGGTATCTATTTTACTGAATCATTCTTGTTAAAAGTTTAGTGTATAAAGTATAAGGCTCTTTTCCACCTTCCAGCAGCGAAGGATTTTGCGAAACAAGCTTTTAAAAGAAATCGAGTTTTATGAAGAAATAACGAATCACGATTAGAGACATGTAATTGACCTATATTAAAACTTTTGGTGCCCAGCGGACTTGAAATTTGATTGTAGACTCTACAACTTTTAGAGTCTACAACTCGTTTCCAAGATGCAGTCCCATTTATAATTTGTCTCAGTTGTTGAAAAAAAAACAGCGTTCGTTGACCGTGGTTATCGACTATACCGCTTTACCAAATTATTAAGAGTAACATTTGTAATACAGAAGAAAAACGTTTTATTTCACCCTTATACATGTATTCCATGCTTTTCTTATGGTGATATTTTGTATATTTCATTTTATTTTATGTGTCATGTGGTTTTACAATTGACTTTTCATAAATAATTTATGAGTTTTATAATTTAAGGAGATAAATGTTACAATAATTATATAAAAAAGTAGAATTGTTTGGATTATATAATAATAATATAAGTAGAAATATCATTGATTTGATATTTTGGAATTTTCGTTTATTGTTTTTTTATATGTTGTTATATTTTTTACATATATATTTCTATTTGTTGTGTTACTACATTGTAGATAAATATTCGACTTGAAAATGGGCAAAATTGCTCGAAATTTCGTCTGGAAATTTAAATTAATTAAAGCGTGAAATAAATGTATAACGGTGAATTAAAACGTTTTTTCTCGATATTATAAATTTTATTATTAATATATTCCCTTGAAAATTTTGAAGATTTAATAAAAAACAAATTATTAAGTTTTGGTACTCGTTCGACGCACAATTTAATTTTCTTTAATTTTTTAAATAGTAAGTTTTCATTTGGAGGCACCGTTTAGAAGTTATAGGCGAAAAACAAAAAAAAAATCGAATAAGCCTAACTTTTTTTTTGGCTGTAAAAAGTTTTTCGTTGCTGGTCTGCGTAGGTAATTTAGTTTTTACGTGTTTAAGCCCATACTTACAAATTCTATTTTTAAGTTTAAAATTAATATTATAATTAAAATTAAATAATAAATTTAAATCCCATATTTTTTTGCAAGGAATTTCTCGTTTCGATCCTTAAGTTACTGGCCTAATATTCTTTAAATTAGCTGCAATTTTTACAGGTAGCATGGTCCGACAGCCAGAATCTTATTTTTTAAAAATATAAATATCCAAAAAATGCTTTTAAAATTTTCTTTAGGTAATGTCCATATTTTTGCACAGGCTCTCGGACTACGTTATACCTCGGAGGCAGCTCCCTCCCCTCCCCCCTTTGCTCCTTCTTCCCCTACTTCGAGGCCTGATTAGTAGAGGTTATTATAGAGCCGAGGTAATGAAATATGTTCTGATTTTCACAAATTGACATATTTTCCTTATTTTTCGTTTATTTATAAACCGATTCACA